TACTTAGTCTTTTCGGCACACTTCGACCCCATGGGGGTAACGAAATGCTGCCAAAATTTTTGAAAAATCAGATAACCCATTTCTCCCCACCTCCTGACACACCTATTTACTTATTTATTTATTTATTATTTCTTTATTTCTTTTCTGAATTTTATTTATTTATTTATTTATTTGCGGCATCTCTAGTGTGCACACCTCGGTCTCTCCTTTTCCCTTGGCACATTCTTGACCCCGTGGGGGGTAGGGAAATGCTGCCGAAAATTTTAAAAAAAATAAATATTGTTTCTCTTCACATCTCCTTACTTATTTCTTTAATTATTTTTATTATTTATTTATTTTCTTATTTATTTTTATTTTCTCCAAAAATCTCGCTGTTTATTTATTTTTCTCCCGTCTTCCCCCCCCCTATGCTTGCTATTTCACTTTCTTGATTAGGTCACCGGTACCCTACCCTAGCCTTAAACCTCAGTTAGGGTTTTCTTAGGGTTTTTGTAGGGTTTAGGGTTCCTCAAAACCCCCCTACTTCCCCGTCCTCTTCGGCCACCCTGGATCCGAACCACCCCTCCCCCTTTGACGGCGCCCGTGCTAGCCTTGCTAGCGCCGTTCGCCGCTTTCTACCGCGGACTTCCCCCTACGCCCTCCGCTCACGCGGACCTCTTCCGTCCCCCTCCAGTCCGGTCCGTCATCTCCCCATGGCCGACGGTGCATCACACGCCGCCGACACGGCGATGACCACGGCATTGGGCTCCACACCCGTGCCGGCGGACCAGGGCCATCAGCCCCAGGGGGATCTACACGCCCTCCTCAATTCCTCCTTGCGCCCATCCAGGCGCAACTCGCGACCCTTGCGCCCATCCAGGCGCAACTCGCGACCCTCGCGCCCTTACAGGCGCAGGTGGCGACCCTTCCCGCCGGCATGCAGCAACTCCAGGACGCTGCGTGTCCGCCATCTCCTGGCTCCCAGTCCGGGTCCCCCGTCTTCCGACAGGGTGGCCACGGCGAAGCTTCCTCCTCCGTTGCCCCTGCCTGACCCGGCCATCTTGGTGACTGTCCACGCCCCTAGCACGACGGCCGCCAAGAGCCAGGCCCCCCCTTAGTCTACGGGCACACCTGTTCAGATCCCGGTCACTACGGCCACGGTACAACAACCCGCTACCATGGTCTCAGCTTTTCCGGGTGCCCCGCTTCTCCCTCCCCTTCGCACGACCGCAGCGCCACCCGACTCTCCTCCCTATGGGATGCCCCGCGCCGCTTGTGCGTCCACCCCCTCCACTCTTCCTCCCGCCACCCCTTGATTGACCTACGTTCGAGGTCTCGCGGACGAGATTGCCCAGCTCCGGGCCGACCTCGCCCTCTTACGACTTCAGCCACCCCCATCCTCACAGGTGGCCGCGCCTTCGGGCGCACCCCCTACCTCTTTTACCCTTCCTCCCATGCAGGCTCGCTTTCCGCGCCCTGCACCCTATACAACTCCTTCCTACCTTCTCCCGCGGTTGCTGCGACCTCTTCTACTGCAACACCCTCGCAACCTGCCGCTGTTGCCACCGCCGCTCCCCCATGCGGCCCGGGCGCACAGTCAGCTGCGCCCCTTTCTCCAGGACCTGCGCCGACTTACTCAGCCGTGGCACAGGCCTCCGCTCCTCGATCCCCTCGCCGCCAAAACGGTGGAGCACCACTCATGCGCTTGTCGGACATTGCCTTGTATGACGGTACAGGCATACGCGTGTCTCGGTGGCTGTAGTCTGCCACCCGCACACTCCAGCTCATGGGTGCCACAGCCGAGACGTGGGTGGGTCACCTCTCCACGCGCCTGCGTGGCGGTCCTTTCGAGGCCTGGGAGGATTTCTATGCCTACTCCCTTCGTGAGGGTCGGACTCCGACCTTCGTGGATTTCCAGGCGTTCCTCGAGGATCGCTTCGGAGCCCGATACGACGTGACTGACGCCTTCGAGCGTGTAGTCACTACACGCTGGTCCACCTCATTTGCGACGTGGCGTTCCTCCCCGAGGCTGCCCTTATCGATCGTTTCTTGGCCAGCCTTCCGCTCGAGTACCGCTCCGAGCTATGGCGGTACGAGTTCACATCGGCCCCACAGGCTTACGAGGCAG